TTTTTAATCTGTGCAGAAAAAACCTCCCAGAGGAGAAAATGGGACTGCGCCCCCTACCATTATGCACAGGTGGTGAGGCTGGGGGTGGGAACAGGCAATTGAGGAATTCCACACAATACGTGCTTCTACACGGACTGAAGCTTTCATAATAATTACGTGTTGTTTTATTATTCAAAAATTAGGGCACAAAAACATGGACTTCTGGAAGCCCTTCCGTGACTCTCCTTTTTAAAAGAAGCTATTTAGAAGCTATTTTTCATAACGCGAAGATGGACTCTGCAAGAGGCGAAGCAGAAACCTGCTCACATCGTAATTTCATCCTGACTATCACGATTTAATTCGATTTCAACTCACCCTTCTCCCCAAAAGGCTAATATGAAATTTTGAAATTTATGGGTCCCGCCCCCTGCTGTGGTCCTCAGGCAGCAAAGCAATTTTCCAAAAACGTGGAAATTTTCCACGCCCTCCGCCGGCGCGAGTCTGGGGCAACACGCCTGGCGGCTTCGCACCTTACTGGCCGTTTCCAAGCCCGTGTTGCCGAAGGGAATCGCAGAATAGCCGACGATGTGTGCAAACCCTCCCAAACGTGGTGCCCGGCACTCACCCCCTCATCTGCTTCTGGGGGTGCTCAAGGTCTTCGTGACCCCCTCAGGCAAAGAGGACAGAGCACTCATGGGCCTTAAGGGGATGCCCTGTGAGGCTGCTCAGTGGGGAATGTTCTGGAGCTATCGAGGCATGGCGCCCCATACTGCACGGATCACCTTTTCGCGGCGTGGGAACCAAGTTCCATGGAGGGCAAGTGAGTTACCCCAGATCCACCCACTGGGCCCAGCTACGTTCCTTCCAGCCCACATCCACACACTGAACTAGAATGTGGACGGCCCAGAGCCTGCCTCGAATACCACTGGGGGGTTAGACTATGTCAGCCTCTTCAGGAAGCAATTAGGAAAGATCTATCAACGTTTAAGATTCTCACGCCCTTTGACAGCCTCGCTTCCAGAAATGCATCACACGCATACACCCGTGTGTGGAAATGATTGTGTCCACGCACATTCAGTGTAGCATGATGTGCGTTACAAAAAAATTAGAAAGGACCTAAATATCCTTCCAGAAGCAACATTCAAATAAATCGGGGCACATAGTATGGGATCTATGTAGGCTTTTAAATAAGAAGGGGGGCACCTGGGTGGCTCGGTCAGATAAGCGTCCAACTTCAGCTCAGGTCCTGATCTCGTGGGCCATGAGTTGGAACCCCACATTGGGCTCTGCGCTGACAGCCCAGAGCTTGGAGCCTGCTGCAGATTCTGTCTGTCTGTCTGTATCTCTCTCAAAAATAAATAAACACTTTTAAAAAATTTAAAGAAGGAAGCAGATTGAGGGGTGCCTGGGGGGCTCAGTCGGTTAAGCAGAGGACTCTTAGTTTCAGTTCAGGTCATGATCTCACAGTTCGTGAGTTTGAGCCCCGCATCCGGCTTTACACTGACTGTGAGGAGCCTGCTTGGGACTCTCTCTCTCTCTCTCTGCCACTCTCCTGCTCATTTTCTTTCTCTCTCTCAAAATAAATAAACTTAAAAACAAAAAAGGAAGAAGGAAGCAGATTGATACGCCCTGATGTGGACTGAGCCCTGAGAGGTAGCCTTAGCTACCAGAGGAGGGAAAAGTGGTTTGAAAAGTATGCGTAGGTGTGTGTGATCCAAGGGGCAGGGGGCAAGGCTATTCAGACTCAGGATGCATCTCATAAGCTTGGACTATGTCTAGAAGGGGTACAAACACAGGCAATCCCTGGTGGTTGTCACAGGGAGAGGGAACGAGGGGTGAAGGGGACCAGGGCCGCGGGCAGGGCCTAAGATTTACTCTCTGCCTCTTTTATTTTTTTTTAAATTTTTTTAATGTTTATTCATTTTGAGAGAGACAGAGCATGAGCAGGGGAGGGGCAGAGAGAGAGGGAGACACAGAATCCGAAGCAGCTCCAGGCTCCGAGCTGTCAGCACAGAGCCCGACACGGGGCTCGAACTCTCAAACTGTGAGATCATGACCTGAGCTACGTGAGACGCCCAGCTGACTGAGCCACCCAGGCGCCCCATTCTCGGCCCCTTTTAAATCTTCTGAATTGTGTATGTTGTTTATGTAGTATCTATTTAAAATTTTTTTTTTTAATAATTAAAGAAAGAAGGGAAGTCTTTGCCCATGAACTTTGGCTGACTCTCCAGATACAGCCTATGGTTTCCCGGGTCAGAGAGCTGCTCGGCAGCCAGGGCTGTGACAGAAGGGGAGGGGTCCAGGAAGGAGTGACAGAACCCCATCCAGGAGAGGGGGAGAAGGGGCTTCATGCCTGAGTCCTGAGTGATCGTAGAATCTCAGGTCAGAACGGGCCCTGGTGTCCCGGAGCCTGAATCTCGGGCAGATGTGGGAATCCTGCCCACAATATCCCAACACTGACCTTCAGCCCCAGCACCTGCCCCTATAAAGGAGGGGTGCCCAGCTCACGTCTGCCATGAGCATTCACAGGCGCACGGTCCCTGGCACATAGTACATGCTCAATAAAATGATCGTCCTGTTGCACGTGAAGAATGCAGAACATCGCAGGGCCGGGAGCAGGGCCCGCACACTCTGACATTCCACCCACGCGGCCTGGGCACAAGCCCTTCCCCGTGTTGTCCCACATGGCTGTCTGAGAGTCCGCTACGGGGAACTACCGTTTTCTTAGCTGCACATTTACATTGGTTTGAAAGTTTCAGAGCTATAAATACAGATATACAGATAAACATCTTTATGCTCATAGTATACATAATTTTTTCAAATGTCCTTGTTTTAGGAGCACAGCTTTCTTTTTTTCTAATTTTTTAAATGTTTTTTATTTTTGAGAGAGAAAGAGACAGAGCATGAGGGGAGGAGGGGCAGAGAGGGAGACAGAACCCGAAGCAGGCTCCAGGCTCTACGCTGTCAGCACAGAGCCCAATGCAGAGCCCGAACTCATGAACCGTGAGATCAGGACCTGAGCCAAAGTCGGACGCTAACTGACTGAGCCCCCCGGGTGCCCCAGGAACACAGCTTTCAAACAAAGGAGTGAACTTTTTGGCCGTATTGGGTGTTCATGAACAATAACACGTTGCTACGACATTGACCTTCGGAGGCACCTATGAGTATGGGAGGCAGGGGAACAATATGGACATAAGCAAATATGGAGCCTGGGTTAAAAAAAAAAAAGCATCCATTAGTCTGGATGGGAGAACCAGGTTTCTGCTTATGCCTTCAAACCCAAAACCATCTCTGGGATGATCAGAGTCCTGTAACATTTTGGGACCTATGCACAACCTTTTGGCTAAAAGCAAAAATAGCAAAAGGCCTGGTGTGAAAAGCATAAAGAGGCATAACATCAAAATGCAGAAAGCTTTCATTTCCTCTGTCCCCAAAAAGAAGTATTTTACCTGTTGAAAGAAAGACGGAGAGGGGAACCTGGGTGGCTCAGTCCGTTAAGCATCTGACTTCGGCTCAGGTCATAATCTCACGGTTTGTGGGTTCGAGTCCCATGTTGGGCTCTGTGCTGACAGCTCAGAGCCTGGAGCCTGTTTCGGTTTCTGTGTCTCCCTCTCTCTCTGTCCCTCCCCTGCTTGTGCTCTGTCTCACTCTATCTCTCAAAAATAAATAAATGTAAAAAAAAATTTTTTTTAAAGAAAGAAAGACGGAGAACAGCATCTTACAGGCGTAAGAGTTGGAGGCTCCCACCCGCAGGCGGGAGGCCGGGGTCATGGGGAGAACGGGAGCTTTGCTGGGGGGCTGGGTGTCACAGTGGCTGGTGACACTGGACGAGGTGTCACCTCCCTGAGCCCCTGTGTTCCTAACTCCTGAGTCACTGTGGGAATTAGGAGCCCCGCCCCATCACCTTCCATCTTTAATTTAACCTCCTCTGGATGACGGATTCCCGGCCGGATGGAGGCTGGCTGTGGACCCCCCATGCTCACACTGGTACCCTGTTCTCACGAGTGGCCAATTAGGCCTAGTCGCCTCCAGGACTCACCACACGCAGCCCATTTGGAGACCTTTCGTGACCAGCTCACCTGATGCTCAGGGTCACCCCGTGGGGCGGGCTCTGATTCAGCCCATTTCACAGATACGCCCACTGCAGGCCTCTCGGGTTAGGAGTTCAAGTAAACACCGGCTTTAGAAACGCGAACAGACCGTGGGCCGCAAACACTCAGGACGTAGCAGATCGGCCCCTGCAGCACGGCCTCGCCCGCTGCTCTCTGCCCACGGCACCCCGAACCCCGGCTTGCCTCTGTCCCCACGCCTCCCGCGCCAGGAGCCGGGCCTCTCCCAGCCGCACTCTCTCCCCCACGGGCTATGAGGCTCAGACCACCCTGTCTTCACGCCCACCCTCTCTGCGAGCTCCACATTGCACGGCGGGGGAAACTGAGGCCACCCTCGCTCTGTGGCAGCTGAGTGCGGCCCAGGACCCTCTCTCCCACTCTTGGTGGGACCCACGGGGCTGGTCTCCTCCCTCCCACCTCCTCCTCTTCCTCCTCAGGTCCTCACGGCAGACCCCAGGAGCCCCGACTTCACCACCTGGCTTCCAGAGCTATGGCGATTAATTCCATCCCAGGCCGTCCTGAAGCAATGGGAGGGGTTTCCTTTCCGACAGCAGTGTGACATCATTTTCTTGCCTCCTTGATCGGGGTGACCCTTCAGCGCACCCCAAGTCTTGCAGCACTGCCTCACTCACCTACGTGGTAGGCTCCGCCTGCCTTTGACGCCTCCCCGACAGTGCTTTGCACTTGACCCCTCTCCTGGGTCAGACCTGGGAATATACACAGAACAGAGTCCAAATGCAGATACTTTCATAAGCACCAGAAACGTTTACTTTTATTCTTTAGAAACATCAAAATGACCGCTCCCAACGTGGGCTTTTTCAACTTAAGTTTACTCTTTAAATCAAATATGGGTCCTCCTCACCCGAGTGGGAAGCCTCTGGTTTTTAAACTTGTTGTTTCTCTTTTCCATAGAGATCCAGACGTCAAAATGGCAACTGCTGGAGTTTCAACCGTGACCTCGTTTTAAAATTTATAACATCCTCTGGCTTGGACCCAGTGGCCAACATTATTTAGCTCCCTGACCTCCTGATGGAAAAACAGCTCTGTGGCAAAGTTACAGTCAAAAGGTAAAGAGAAGATTCTCCAGGGGCTCCTGGGTGGTTCAATCGGTTGAACGTTCAACTCTTGATCTCAGCTCAGGTCATGATCTCACGGGTCGTGGGTTCAGGCCCCACGTCAGGCTCTGTGCTATTGGCAAGAAGCCTGCTTGGGATTCTCTCTCTCCCTCTCTCTCTGCCCCTCCCCTGCTCATTCAGTCTCTCAAAATAAATAAATAAGCTAAATTTTTTTTTAATTTAAAAAAGAAAAGCGCATCCTCCAAAATCCAGTTGTGAGTTTCCTCATCTGACCCTCACTCAGAAGGCATTATTCTGTGCTCAGTGATCCAGATTCTTCAAAATATCCCACAACTTCCAGGATCGAAGTCAGAGCTCGCATACAAAGACCCTTAGAGTGTGGCTGCAACCTCACTTTCTACCCCTACTCTGGAAGGTTCTGGAAATAACAAACCCTTTCCACCATGGTACACTATCTCTTAGGGGTTTTAGAATTTTTGTTAAAGCATTTCATTAATTCTGCACAGTATTTGATAAAGAAATAGTATAAGAAGTAAATAGCTACTCTTTATTTTAGATGGGTACATTATCAGAGATTTATTATAGATTTACAACCCTGTGCTCACAATTGCACAATCCAGAAAGCTCTGACAAAGAGCAGTTCTTTCTATGTTTAGCATAAATTTGTCTGCAAATCTGACCTTAAGTGCCGTGAGGCTATTCAGAGTCTATATTTATCCTACATGGTATGAATATTCAAAGGATTCACTACAGAAATATTAATGTCCTTAATTACAGGCTATAGCCTCAAACCCCACTATGGGCTTTTATATAAATAGGACGCACACAGTGTATTACTTCCTTAAAATGTTAAGAATTCTGAAATCTGAAACACATCTGCCTTAAGATTTTTAGCTAAGGGGTTTTGGACCAGTATAAATTTATCATAATTTAGTTCTTAATAACATAGGAAATACATCTTTAAAAATCTATAGGGTCTTCCTATATAAAGTAATGCCAACCTCCACTCTTCCTCATTGTAGTAGCTTTAAAAAAAATACATCCACGAATTCTTTGTTATTCCTCCCTTCAAAAGATGGAGCTTGATTCTCTTCCCCTTGAATGAGGACTGGAATAAGAGACTCAATTCTAATGAAGCAAATATGTAGAAGGGATAGCATGTCATTCCAAATTAGGTGAGAAAGACAACGTGGCTTCCATATTGGATGCATAGGATTTCTTACGCTCTCTCTCTCCCCCTCCCCCCATGCTCTGGGGGAAGGCAGCTGCTATGTAGTGAGCTGCCCTGTGGAGAAGAAGATCAAATATCAAGTAACCAAGGGTGAGAGGGGCTTCAGCCAACATCTAGCAAAAAACTAAGGCCCTCAGCCCCACAAACCTTTCAGATCTGAGGTCTGTCAGCAACCCCAGGAGTGAGCTTAGAATCAGCTGTCAGCCCCAGTTGAGCCTTAAGATGAGATCTGAGCCCAGGGCAACAGCTTGACTAAAGCTTCAGGACAGACCCTGAGCCAGAACTGCCCCACCACCCACCACCCAGCTAAGCTGCTCCCAGAGTCCTGATTCACAGAACCTGAAATAATAGATGGGTGTCATTCAAAGCTGCTAAGCATGGGGTAATTTGTTACACGACAATAGATAGCTGATACATCTCTCAGTGTTTTCTACCTAAGCATTGTAGTTCTTTCTTCATTGCACTTGATCACAAGCTGAAGTTTTATTTAGTTTTTAATTTATTGGCTTGTTGTTTGTCTTCTCCTTCTCTTATGGGGGAGGGGTCAGACGGTACAGCCAGCATTGTACTCACACCATGTAACGCAGGGCCTGGCTCACAGATACTGAATATACACAGAAGGATGAAAGGAGAGGGAGGAAAGAAAATTATTCTGGGGACAGAACCAGAGAGGCAGTGATCATTTGAAAGCTCTGAACCCCAGAGAACAATCCTCCCCTTCTCCTCACCTGGTCTAGGTGGATACCAGGTCTCGTGGACCCTGCCCTCTCCTCACTGGGGCATGTCCCCTCCCCACCATCCTCACCGCCAGCCTCCGTCACTCCTCACCAGTGTCTCACTGGTCTCCCTGTCCCACCCACCCCACCAATCCATTCCAAACACTAACTGTGCACTAGTTGGGGGAAAGGAGAGAATACAGGTAGCTGAAAGTCTCTCTCTTTCTCCAGGACCTTAACGTGTAACCACCCCCAAAAAACTTGAGAGCCCGTGGTTCAGTATGAGATTCCTATTCCTTTGGTGCCCCTTCAACAAGAAAAGAGAAATGAAGCCAAAGTACCATCAGTTCTAGAGAGTGATGAATGTAAATCACATCATCTTTCCAGAAAATAGTTTAGTCATAGGTTCAAAAAGACTTAGAGCCATCATACTCTGCCTCCCAGTGACTTCCCCCCTAAGATGCCAGCATGAAGGTAAATTCCAGGACTGCACCAGAAGTTTGAATAAAAATCCAGGAACACACAAGTGCAGCTCAGTGAGCTTCTAGTAGATTATAAGCAACCTGAATACCCAGCAATGGCGGAAAGAATAAATAAACCAGGATATAGCCTTTAAGAGAATGTTATTCACCCAGTGAAATTATCCTTTCACAGAGTTTGATGACATGAGAAAACACTCACACCAGAATATAACGAGATGTTCCATGTACGTGCACCTGTATTATCTAAGACGCGCGCACAACTGTAAAAGTGCATCACACTGTGGCCACCGATTATCTCCGAACAGAGAAGGAACAGATGATCTTCATCTTTATAATTCCGTGCATGGTGCCCATTTTCTACGTTGAACGAGGATTGCCTTAACATTCAGCCAAGAGTTTTCATTTTCTTGAGAACGAGGAGGAAACTAATCCAAAATAACATCAAAGAGCCTTGTTCGCTGTGTCTGTGCCACGTGTCGGCAGCGATGCTGCCATGACCAGCAATTGTGTCCGCAGGGAAACCGAAATCCAGAAGAAGGGAAGGCACCCCTCCCCCCTCACCTCCCCGCCCTGCGGGTCCATCCTTTGACTTCCAAGACAGCCCAGGGGTGCTGTGAATCTGGGGAGGCTGCTGTCAGGAACAAGCCTGAAATCTTTCAAGCTGAACGCAGCAAAGGTTCACTTTCGGCTCACGCTTTGGGGGTTGGGACACGACATCGGGGGGACGCTACCCTGCACCACCCTCAGACACTCAACTCACTCTTCTCTGGAGGCGCTGCCTTGTACAACAGGTGGCTCACCAGATCCCCGGGGAATGGGCCATCAGAGAAGGAGGGGGTGAGGGGTCCCTGCCGGGGCGACCTGGCGGCCAGGCCAGGAAGCAGACTTTGGGGTTTCTGCCGCATTCCGCAAGCCCCACCCCAGTTCTGCGGCTCCCACTGCCTGTAAGGGAGCACTGGGAAGTGCCCCTCAGCTGGATGCCCAGGAGGAAGAGAGAACAGCCCTTCCTGGGCATCGAGGAGCCCAGCCCCTTCGCTCACTACCTCCCAGCCGCGTGCTGGACAGAATCTGCCATGTGCAAGGCAGAACGCATCTATTTCTGGGTCTGTTGCTCAAAGCAGCCTGGACCCAGGCCCATGTCAGACCTCTTGGGATCCTTTGCTGCAAAGTCAGTCTCTCATCTACTGATCCAATTTCCTCCACTTCTCTTCGCTGGAAGGCAAAGGTGGATTTGGGTGGCCTATCGATAGCAAGAAGGCCGGATGAAAACCAGGCTTTTCTATTGCAGTGACCTCCCCCCCCTCCCCCCGCCACCAAGCCCTCCTTCCCACACCTGCTCTTCTCCCTCCGCATAGAGGCAGGACGGAGGGTACAGGTAGTAAGCCCCCTTACTTCCGGCCATCTCACCTCCATATGGAATGAAATGTGCACAGCCTCCCCCCTCCCCTCCCCGTCACACGGACATCACACTACTGAAACCCCAAAGGAAACAGATGAAAGACAAGGTGTGGGGTGCAGGCGTGTTAAAGCTGAGCTTGTGGCAAACTCTTAGGCAAGAAGTGGGTATCACACTAAGATACGTTTGTTGTTTAAATCTTATTGGGGGAGTTCAAGACTACTTACTAAAGAGAAAGGCTTTAGAAATCAAGTCTTTCTTTAAAGTCTAATTGGGTCCTCAGAGGACGCAGATTTATTCTGCAGAGGAGATTCAGCAAATGTGCCTCAGGCTCCCAAGGAGAATCCCAGAGCAGCCTGCTCCCACCGGTGCACGAAGCTTCAGCCCAGCAGAGAACCCTGCAGAAGGGGCCAAGCTCACAGGAAACAGACCCCGAGAGCCCCGTGTGCAGAAGCCAGGGCTGGGCTTCCCAGGCAAGCAGGCAAGTAAATGCCCAGACGTGGCGCCGCTCACGATTTTTCACCCAAGCATTTCAAACACTGAACTGCAGTGTGGAGGCTGGGGCTCCAGCCCTAATGAGGTGGCCTCGAGTAGATTTCTTTCTGTGCCCCAATGTTCATAGCTGCCCTTGCAACAATAGCCAGATCATGGAAAGAGCCTAAATGTCCATCAACTGACTAATGGATCAAGAAGATGTAGTTTATACAATGGAATACTGCATGGCAATGAGAAAGAACGAAATCTGGCCATTTGTAGCAACGTGGATGGAACTCGAGGGTGTTAGGCTGAGCGAAATAAGTCAGGCAGAGAAGGACAGATACCATATGTTTGCACTCATATGTGGAACAGGAGAAACTTAACAGAGGACCATGGGGGAGGGGAAGGGGGAAAATAGTGGGGGAGAGGGAGGGAGGCAAACCAGGAGAGACTCTTGAATGCCGAGAACAAACTGAGGGTTGACGGGGTGGGGGAGAGGGGAAGGGGGCTGATGGGCGTGGAGGAGGGCACTTGTTGGGATGAGCACTGGGTGTTATACAGAAGCCAACTTGACAATAAACTATAATAAATAAATAAATAAAAAATATATGATACTATTAAAAAATGCATGAGAGGGGCACCTGGGTAGCTCAGTTACATAAACTTCTGATTCTTGATTTTGCTTAAGGTCATGATCTCATGGGTTGTGAGATTGAGTCTCGTGTCAGGCTCTGCACTGACAACACAGAGCCTGTTGGGATTCTCTCTCTCCCTCTCTGTCTGCCTCTCCCCTGCTTGCTCTCTCTCTCTCTCTCTCAAAATAAATAAACTTTAAAAAACAATAAAATAAATAAAACGCATGGGAACCCTTTATCCACTTATATTTTTTACATTTATATATTAAAAAGTATATATTTTATTCTTTATATACATTATTATATATTACATATAAATAATAAATATGTTTAATGTATTATTCACCAATAATAAATATATATATTCATTTAATATCAAAAATATTACCAGCAGCTACAGCTTCATTTCATAGCCCAGTCTGACATCTGCCCTATTCCAAGTGTGGACCCTGACTGTCACCACATCCCCACCACACCCCCATCTTGAACTGTAGGAAATGCAGAATTTTGGTCCCCTCCCAGCCACGAGAATCGATATCTGCGTTGCAACCAGATCCTGGAGTGACTCATTCACACATCAAAATTTAAGAAAATGCAGCTCTGCTGATGCTTTGAAGAGTGTGATCACCCTAATTTGGGTCGTGGAGCTGTAGAGGACTTACCGGAAGTTCTGTTTGCCATCCTCCGTCTTACAGCACTCTACCTCATTATCCAGTTTAATTTTCTCCAGAGCACTTCTCTGTGTGTACGTTTAGAATATATAAGCCGCATGAAGCAGGATCTGTTGCAGACCCATGCACAGAGAATTTTGCCTATAGTAAGTGCTCACTAAAAGGAATGTAAGTGACTGAATCTAATTGGGAGAAAAGAGAGGAGCTGGATATAAAAGGTAAGTCAAGTGTTAGTCTTTCTATGGGAAATTCTCTATAAGGAATAACTTTTTTTCTCTTCTGAAAATCAGAAGCAGGTGTGGTTTCCGTAGCATAGTGGTTATCATGTTTGCCTGAAAATCAGAAGCAAACAGTAGTATTGGAATGTTCCCACGAAAACCTACACCTAAATGTTCAGAGTGGCTTTCTTCTTGATAGTAAAAAACCAGAACAAGTAAGTACACGGTGGTACATGTACACCATGGGACACGCCTCAGCAATAAAGAGTGAACTTCTGATATACTCAGTGGCTTGGATGGCTCTCAAAGCAATTACAGGGAATGACAAGAGCCAGGCTCAAAAAGGATATTGCTACAGATTGAATGTTTATTTCCTTCAAAATTCATACGTTGAAAGACTAACTCTCAAGACGATGGTATTAGGAGATGGGGCATATGGGGGAGGGGATTGGGTCACGGAGACAGAGCTCTGATGAATGAAGTCAATGCCCTCATAAGAGAGACCCCAGAGGGCTCCCCACCCCTTCCACCATGTGAGGACACAGCAAGAAGTCTGAGAGCCAGGAAGAGAGCTCTCATCAGACACTGGGTTTGTCGGAGTCTTGATCTTGGACTCCCCAGACTCCAGAACTATGAGAAATAAGTTTCCACTTTTATAAGCCCCCCAGTTTATGATATGTTGTTATAGCAGTGCTGACAGACAGGTGCATATTATACGATTCCATTTACAGACTAGTGGTTGCCCAGGCTGGCGAGGGAGAATGGATGTAAAGGGGTAGCACCAGGGATCTTTGGGAGCATGGAAGAGTTCTGCATCTTAACTGGGGTGGTGATCACACAATCTGCACAGGTGATAAAGTTACATAGAACCATACACACACACACGCACGTGTGCAGGTAAGATCAATGAGATCTAAATAAGGTGTGTGTGTTGTACCTGTGTCGATTCCTATGTCAATTTCCTGGCTTTGATATTATACTGCAAATATGTAAGATGTTACCATTGAGGGAAACTGGGTTAAGGGTACCTGAGGCCACTCTGTACTAGTTTTGCAACTTCCTCTGAATCGCTATTTCAAAATAAAAATTTCAAAAGACCTGATTGAAAGGTTCGTGATAGAGATAGGGATGGTGTCTTGTTTTAAAACATTTAAGAGGAGCACCTGGGTGGCTCAGTAGGTTAAGTGTACAACTTCAGCTCAGGTCATGATCTCACGGTTCGTGAGTTCAAGCCCCGCGTCGGGCTCTGTGTTGACAGCTCTGAGCCTGGAGCCTGCTTCGGATTCTGTGTCTCCCTTTCTCTCTCCCCATCCCTGACTAGTGCTTTGTCTCTCTCACTCTGTCTCTCTTTCTCTCAAAAAATAAACATTTTTAAAAATTTAACTTGTACAAGATAATTTTATACTGTTCAGCATGACCTAACCATAGACGTGCCCTGATTTCTCCTGTACCAAATGTTTCCCTCAAAAAGAGCAGCTGAGCCCAAAGTAATTAAGCCTCTACTTTCACCTGACTTTAGAAGAAAATAACCCAGGACGACTCAGCTTTTTCTCGTCACGTGCCAGTCCTGGGGCAAAGTCTGGGTACTGAACTGCCCTGCTCAGATGCAGGACAACTGAAAAGACACACGAAGAAGGCTGCACCCGGCTTGGGAGTGACCATGACTGAGACCATGAGCCCCACGACTCCAGCGATGGAACACGGTCTCCAGGGCAGCCATCTCCTAGCCCAAGAGGAGCCACGGCATCCCCTCCATCACCAGCCATATTCCTCCTGAGAAGTGACACCACGTGGAGACTTTCTCTCCGAC